TGTCAGAGCCCTCTGTAAAGTTGTAGGGGATAATCCGGACACGTGGGATGAGTACATTGTTGCCATCATGTTTGGAATTCGAACAAGGAAACAGATGACCACAAAATACTCTCCTTTTTTTCATGAGATTTGGCAGAGAGGCTCATTACCCATCCGAGATTCCCGAACAGTTCATGGTTGGTATAAGTTCTACCAGTTACAAAAACCATAATAATTACACATAATGCTCTTTATTAAATGCAGTTTGATTTAAAAGCTGTTAATGAATTGACTTTTATTTTTTCAATATAGAAGTTTTTGTGTCTGTAATATGTGTTTTTTTTTCAAAATTACAGTTGTCAGATTTTTTTACAGCAAGTATTTTTGTTAAACAGGTTGACAGCATTGTGGAACATCTTGTAGGACAAGAAGAGTTTGCGCATGACATTAAAAAACACGAACAGCTTATGGAAGTTATTCGGGAAATGTCAGCAAAGCACAAGAAAAAATGAAGAAAAAGATGAAAAGCAGAACAAGTACTGAAACCATTAAAGTTGGTGACAGCGTCTTGAGAGCCAACATAAGAAGCCAGCAAAGAAAAGGAGGAAAGCTTGAAGCCAACTATCTAGGACCATTCACTGTAACATCTATCCAGGACAAAAGTGCAGACATTCAAAATTCAAATGATGTCATATTCCAAAAAGGAAATATTGATCATCTTAAACTGGTCAAAATCCCAGTAGCAAGGGTGCCACATTGGGGTTTAAAAAAAAAAAGGGCTACTCCCCCTGCTTCTCTGGCCAGTGCTTCTCCTCCACCCCATGCATCTTCTGCTGCCCCTGCATCCCCTACACCACCCTCATTTGCTGCCACTGCTGCACCATCCCCATCTCCTCAACCATCCCCATCTGCTCCACCCCCTGCATCCCCTCCACCTACTCAACATAGGTATGTAACCAATGACCTTTGGATTGTTTAACGTGATTAGTATCTTGCTTTTAACTGATGGAAACATTAAGTTTGTATCATTTCATGTGATATTGTCAAAAAACAGTGAGGCTCATCGGATATTTTGGTATGTCCTACTGATGACCTGAGCAGCCTCTGTCACTTTTGTGGCAAGAAAAACACAGACACTGAAGACATCTGAGTATTTGAAAATATTGCCAGGTGCTTATAAGAATTCCCAACTTTCTTTGCTAATTTCTTTCTCTTTTTTTTTTTTTTTTTACAGATTCTTTGTGACTGCTTCTTCAGATGGTACCATCTTCCATGTGTTGGAAACCCAGATCCCCAAGAGGATTACGTGTGCTTTGCATGTTGATAGTTTTGTAAGCTTGTGTCTGTTGTTCTGTGTCTACCTTGTATTAAAATTTGTGATTGTTTTTATTAAGAAGTTATAAGGCATACTTTGAATATAATTTTTTTGCAACTGTTTATTATTGCCCTAAATGGTTACGTTCCAGGCTCCACACTTGACAAATATTTAAGCCTGCAATAGTAGGTGCTGTCGGCTTAATTTTACTTCAGTAAACTACCATTAAGACACTTCAACATCTAAAAATCTCAACTGGTAAAGCCAGTTCCCTTTTGTAACTTTAAGTAACAAAGGTCTACCCCCAAAGTTACAGGATGGAGTTGTCATCGTAAAAGATGCTTATAAGTCTAAAATGAAAAAGCTGGGACTCTTTGTGTCTGATTTAGACACCAATTCGGGCAATATGAGATAAAATAAAACACCTGATGTTAGAACAAAGACTGTTTATTAAGGATAGTACAACATAGAGAAATTGTAAGTTAATATAAAGCACAAATATAGATTTAGGTACTAAATTTCTCACAGGGAAAAGTAATTTTCCTTCTGGATATAGGCTTTAATGATAACATGTACACCCCATTTTCTATGTCATTTTTATTACACGTATATGGCTGCGGGAGTATAACCAGGCTGTGAGAGGCCGTGTTCAGTGAGGAAAGCACAAACCCTTATTTTTAATTTGCATACGCGGTCAGCCATTGATGCTGGTAAATCAGCTGTTGCCATAGCTCCCGTCAATTGTGTAGTGTGCGGGACCGCACAAACAGCTCATGGCCCCCTCTGCTTCTGATTGGCTAATGCGGTTAGTTTCAGAGCGCTCCTTTGCTACCATTGGCTGACAGAAGCAAGAGGGATTTCGATTGTATTTTTAAAATTTATTTACTATCAGTTTTTTTTTGATTGATTTGTTTTGCCCACGGGCAAGCAGTATGAGCCGGAAATCCGGCCTGGGGCTGGAATACTTTAATCCCTGTATATGATACAAAATGGAATAAGAGCTTTGTTGGTGCCATCAACACTTTTCAGTTATAACTTGTGGTGGAGAACACCGAGATTGACATACTGTTGGTCTAACAAAAATTTTCCCCAAATTCTTTGTTCCATCGACAGTATCTTATTCTCAGTACTCCCCACGACTAGTTATAAATGAAGAGGCCTCTTGGACTAGAGGTGAAATGTCTTCTTAAAAACTTAACAACCACATCTCTATATTTAAGTTATTCAAGCTTGATCATGACCTGGATGACTGAGAATCTTCACAGATATATGTCTCCTTCTGTTGCCTTGAACCCCATTGAGCCTGGTTCTGCTGGAGGTTTCTTCCTGTTAAAAGGGAGTTTATCTCTCTACTGTCACTACTAGATCTAGATGGGGGGGCTAGGGGTGGACACCCTTAGCCAATCATTGGGCCACCCCCACCACTTTTTCCCTCTAATACAGACGGTGGCATCAGTAATACTCTGAAAGGGAATGTTCAAAGTTATTTAACATTTACATTTTTCATATATTAACAACTACTTGACAGCATAAACACTGGTTAATTATGCACATCAATAAACAAAAATTAAAGATGATAGAACATAATTCATGCTCTTTTTAGAAGTAATTTTTTTTTGTCTCTGCAAGTCATCTTGGAGTCTTCAGTGAAAACATAGATAAATAAGTACTTTAATAATAAACATTTGTTAAATGTGGATATTAGTAGATTTAAATATCTTTTTTTTTTTTATTTTGCAGAATGATTATTTATTAAAGTAAGTAATGAAAATTTGAAATAAGTTCGCCCAGGACTCAAACCTGAAAGTATTTTGTCCACTATACCTTTTATTTACACAGTGTTTATGTTTAAATATATGTGTCTATTTGTTAACAAAGGCTGCAGGAAAGTATAGTTTGTCTTTATAAAATATGGATGTTGTGCTTGTTACTGTTGGAACAGTGTAGATTGAGCCTGAGGTTGTGGTGCCTTTCGGCCACCCCTCAATATACACTGGTTATTGACTGGCCTTCCCTATTAGGATTTTCTGGCTACGCCTCTGCTACCAGCATGCGTGGTGTGAGGGATTGCCTTCAAGTCAATGGGTTGATGCAATCAGCTGGTTTTCCTTAGATACAAAACCTGAACCGATCTGAATGCATGATCTTGTTGAATTCTCTCTGTAAAGTGCCTTGAGATCAAATGTTGTGAATTGGAGCTATATAAATAAACTCAACTGAATTGAAAGGGGGCACTAAATTCGAAAGAAAACAATTCTTAATACCCAAATTGTGTCTAATTATGAAAAACTGCTATCGAAGCCAAAAATTAGAGGCTCTGTAAAAAATTGCTATGGTGTATGAAAATAATATGGAATGACAAATAGTTAATTTAAAGGGGACATGGAAAGAAAAAAAAGAACTAGGTTTGAACACCTTTTTTTTCAACTTTTATTGTCATTACACTGTCCCAAGTATAAAGCAACAAAATGAACTCTCTCCATTTACCCCATCCCCTTGGGGAGCATTGGGCTGCGATTGTTCGGTTCCCGGGGATTAGTGTGGGGTTGAGGGTCTATACTCAGGGACCCAGAGTGGCAGTCTGTGGGAGTGAGGCTTGAACTCAGAAGCTCTGATTCCAAGTGGCCTAAACACTCCCCTAGTCACCTGTGATGAAACCTGGAAATGTGGCAAGACTTTTAACAAGTCTGGAAGTAAAAACAATCATACTCACATTTTCCAATTTACACAGTGTCCATAAATCTCCCACTCGATGTTAGCGATTTATTTCAGATCATTCTTTGTTCTGACCTACGTGTAAAATGAAGGTGGTGAACATCACTCATTGGTTCTGTAGAAAAATACTGTAATTTTGTTTAATATACAAGGTGAATTGGATATGATCTTATTTAATGTTGCTGAAAGTAATCAAGGTCTATGCTACTAAGAATGACTAATAACATTAAGAGGAAATTCAACTTCACTTGATGCTCGGATTCTGTACATGAAACTGTGTCCTTTTTAACTGACTTACAAACATCTAAAGCACAAATGCAGCAGTACTTGAATATGTGTTACCAATATTAGAGATAATATGATTCAGAACTCTGACATCCTTAAATGCTGATTTATTTATATTCATACATTTGAAAAATAAGTTGTTGAAGAAAAAGTCTGGCATACACAAATTAGGTAACAAGATGACTGCCTTTGATTATGTCCCTCCTACCTCCTAATCTTGTATTCCGACAGATATAAAAGAAAAAAAAAAAACTATTATAATTTATCACCTGACCCTACTGTTATAAATTCCACATAAGGCTTGTTATTTGCATAATGATTAATTGGATGGCACCCAGAGATTTTACTTATCGAGAAATCATGATATCCACACAAAGGTGGCCAGAGCAGAGTTGTGTACTTTTACAGCTACTTCTGTGGGTGTCTTTTGCCCAAACACAAGAGCCAATCTGCAGGCAGTTAGATACTGAGATACCTCAGCTCTCCAAAGATGGGGATATCCTTCTTGGTGGAAGCTTTTATTTTCACAGCAGTTGGAAGAGCAGAGAAAATAATTTTACACAAAAACCATTATCACTGGAATGTATCAGGTAAATTCAAGTTTTTGTGTCTGTTTAGTGCACTCTTAAACTAGGCAATGCTGTCATTTATTCTTACTATCTCTGTCTCATACTGTTTTGTTTCAAGTTTAAATTTTAGAGAGTTCCAGTTTGCTCAAGCTATGCTTTTTGCCATTGAAGAAATTAATAATAGTACAGACCTACTTCCAGGGATTTCTCTTGGATACAAAATCTATGACACTTGTGGCTCAGTTTCTAGAAGCATAAAAGTTGCTCTTGCATTAAACAATGGCAATGAAAATATGTCTTTTACCTCTGAGGGGGAATGTCCCAGGCCGGTACAAGTGCAGGCTATAATGGGAGAAACCTCCTCTTCCCCTAGTACTGCAGTAGCTACTGTCTTTGGAGCATTTCATATACCAATGGTGAGTATGTTTAGCAAAATATACACATGTATTTTAAAATATGGTTAAAACGGATTGCAGCTTACAAAGGTGATGTGTGAATATATATATTTTTTTACAATTTATTTTTTCAAATAAATATGTTTTTTGCTTATAGATCAGCCACTTTGCCACATGTGCTTGTCTCAGTGATAAAACCAAATACCCATCGTTTCTTCGAACTGTACCCAGTGACTATTATCAGAGCAGAGCTCTGGCTCATTTGGTCAAGCATTTTGGTTGGACTTGGGTCGGAGCTGTCAGAACCAATGATGATTATGGCAACAATGGCATGGCAACATTCACTGAAATTGCTGAGCAGCTGGGCATTTGTCTGGAATATTCTATATCTTTCTTTAGAACAGATCCTACAGAAAAAATAAAAAAGATAACAAAAACAATCAAGGACTCAACTGCAAAAGTAGTTGTTGCTTTCCTCTCCCACCGAGACATGGAAGTACTCATACATGAGCTGTCCAACCAAAACCTGACAGGGTATCAGTGGGTCGGCAGTGAGTCTTGGATCTTTGATTCACAAATTGCAGCAATGGATAAAACTCACATATTAGATGGAGCGATTGGCCTTTCCATCCCCAAAGCACATGTCAGTGGTCTCAGAGAGTTCATGCTTGATGTAAAACCGCTAATTTTATCAAATAATAAGTTGTTTAGGGAGTTCTGGGAGACATTGTTTCGCTGCAAGTTCAAGCAGGCCAAAGCATCTGAAACACTGAAAAAATGTACAGGATATGAGGATCTAAGAGGAGTGGAAAACAGCTTCACTGACATGTCTCTGATGCCCATCTTTAACAATGTCTATAAAGGAGTGTATGCAGTGGCCCATGCTTTGCATAATATTTTTGGCTGCAGTAAAACGTGTAATAATAGCGCGCAGCTAGATCCATATATGGTGAGTGCAATACAGTCGTATATGTTATATTTTGATATTATCTAAATACTTTAATGAATATATTTATCTTAGATTTTAAAACACATCCAAAAAATTAACTTTAAAACAAAAGAAGGGGATGAAGTTTACTTTAATGAGGATGGGGATCCACCTGCAAAGTATGAAATTATAAACTGGCAGCCAAAAGAAAATGGCATGGTGGATTTTGTCACAGTTGGTCTTTATGATGCATCATTTCCTGCAGCCAAACAACTAAACCTTCAAAATAAATCCATAATTTGGACCCACCGCTCAACAGAGGTTAAAACCTTTTCTTTGATAATGTACATTTTCTCTGAAAATGAGAAAGAAATAAACCTTTAAACACAATCTCATTTTTTTTTCTTACTTTCCTTCTATCACTTTTAATTTGTTTAGGTGCCAGTGTCAGTTTGCAGTGTAAAATGTCCCCCAGGAACACGTAAAGTTCTGCAGAAAGGAAAACCTGTATGCTGCTATGACTGCATACGTTGTGCCAAAGGAGAAATGAGCAACATCACAGGTTTGGTGTTTTTATGTGCAAGATTTTAGAGCATAGAGTCTTTACAGTTTGAGGCTTTTAAATATCCATATTTTTATTGGTTAGGAAAAGAAGAATTTAAACCTTGCTGAGTAAAAAAGAATCACTTTATATTCATTATACAGCGCTTTACATTCACATGTTTGTTAGTGAGTCCACAGAAACCATTGGGATAGAGCCATAAATATTATTTTGTCAACAAAGGTTGCGGAAGATGTTTGAAATCAAATTTGTGTTGTTTAGATTTAAAAATAGTTGCTTTTGCTTTGAGCTTTTTCCACATATTTCATTTGTCATTTGTAAAATGTGATGTGATTTGTCTTACAATATGTAGGTCTCAGGTTTAAATCTCAATTCCCTCCAAATGCACAGCTCTTAAATAACATGTTGATTTGAAAAGGATTGCTGGAGTGAGTAAAATAATGTAGAATTGAGTTGACTCTTAAAATTTTGGCCCCTAGAATAGACTGGAAATTTATATAATGAGGTTATACTCTTGACCTAATGATAATTTTGATAGACGCTCAATCGTCACCACCTTTAAAGGAAAACTCCAATCAGAATTAAATCTTCTGAATATACTTTAAATATAAAATGATTACATACTGTTCAATATATGATAAGTGCTTTTAATTAAGAGCAATTTAATCTAAATGGGCTTTACTGGAAACATCCCTGTTTGTCAAAGAATACAACTGCCTCCTAACGGTTTGTGACGTCACTGTGCGGTATCGGCTGATCAAGTCCCAGGGCTGTATCTGGTGTTTGTCAGTACATGCTATTATCCAAGTCACCTTGAAAACATTCTTCTTCAAAATGTTGGCTACATATTAGGTGTTTTTTCTCTGGCCAGAAGCTCGATGGCAAATCCTGCCTCTTCAAGTTTCCAATCCAACGACAAACCCATCCATGGAGGATCATGAATTGGAAAGTTTTTTTTTTTCACTTGTATTGTGATGTATTACAACATCCAACTGCCATGCATATGGGCATTGACAGTTTAACTATAGAACTCTCGAATTTCAATGGTGAAGTTCTCTTGAAATCTTAACTAATTGTTGATTGCAGATGTGTCTAGTGGTTCCCATTGATTTTGCTTGTAAAGTGGGGAGAATGGGCTTACCACACCGTGACGTCACTGCCGGAAGATGTCAGAAGTGAGGTGTTACTATATTTGGACAAAAATGGCCGGTCCTGGACTCAGTGATCGCAATGAAAATTGTTATTTTTATTTTTTTACTGATTAAATTTAAATTCATTAAATCACCACAAACACATTAGTTTTAGGTATAAAAAATTATCCATTGATCATTCCTTCCTGACCGGACTTTTCCTTTAATAATATTAAGCTAACTAGCGGCCTAGTAATTTATAGAAGTTGATACAATGTCACATAAGGGGTGTAAAGTTGAATTTTATTGAATTTAGTATAAAAACCAATCCAAGACATATTGTACACAGGGAAAATAACACCATTCTAAATGTCATTATTAATTTTCAGATGCTGTATCTTGTGTGAAGTGCCCCCCTGAAACTTGGTCAAATGCGAGAGGAGATGCATGCGTACAGAAGGAGGCTGAGTTCCTTTCATTTGAAGAAATAATGGGAATATTGCTTACTTCTGCAGCTTTATTGGGAACATGCCTAACTGCTGCTGTTGCATTAATATTCTTTAGACACAGAAAAACTCCTCTCGTAAGGGCAAACAACTCTGAGCTGAGCTTTCTCCTCCTTTTCTCCTTGACCCTGTGTTTCCTCTGCTCCCTGACCTTTATTGGACAACCCTCTGAATGGTCCTGTATGCTTCGTCACACGGCATTTGGCATCACCTTTGTTCTTTGCATTTCCTGTGTCTTAGGAAAAACTATGGTGGTTTTGATGGCATTTAAAGCTACACTTCCTGGCAAGAATATCATGAAATGGTTTGGACCAACACAGCAGAGACTTAGCGTTCTGGGTTTTACTCTTGTTCAAGTGATCATTTGTATCCTCTGGTTAACTATATCTCCTCCGTTTCCAACCAAGAACTTCAAAGAATTTAAAGACAAAATCATTTTGGAATGTTCTCTTGGGTCAGCTGTGGGCTTCTGGTCTGTGCTTGGATATATTGGACTTCTTGCCTTGTTGTGTTTTATGCTTGCTTTTTTGGCTCGTAAGTTGCCGGATAACTTTAATGAAGCCAAATTTATAACATTTAGTATGTTGATATTCTGCGCGGTGTGGATTGCCTTTATCCCAGCATATGTCAGCTCTCCTGGAAAATTTAGTGTTGCAGTAGAAATCTTTGCCATTCTTGCGTCCAGTTTCGGAATGCTTTTTTGTATCTTCATTCCAAAATGCTATATCATGCTAATAAAACCAGAAAAAAATACAAAAAGAAATATGATGGGTAAGGGGGCTCCATAAGAGACAGAATTTAAACATGGAAAAAGCACAATTTTAATTTTAATTTTTTACAAAATCAGGGTGAGATAATTAAATATATCTGTTTTTATCTGATT